CCGGGTCTTAAAGGACCCTCCGCCCAAATCCTTTTAGCCTTTTTGCCTACTCGAGGTCCTCTATCGAATGATGTATGAACGAACGAAATCGGAGCCGGACACCTGGGGCGGTTCCCTCGTAAGTAAGGTTGTTTTACAAAGTGCTTATTTAGTTAAAGACCGGTCCAAGTTTCAAAGCTTGGGCCTTTCTGTGATTAAATATGCGGCTTTAGAACAAATCTATTTGCTACAAACAAAGGCGAGTTTGAAATTAACTAGCTATTTATTTCAGTCGTTCACAAAGCTCTATCCTAGCCTTGTATTTCAGAGTTGTTTTGTGTCTGTGTTTGTAATTCATTTAATGCATACTACATAGTAACAAAATTTCTCATAGTTGCAGTATTTCTTCATATTCATTGAGCTTCTTTCATACTTTAATACGTGTACGAAAACGAGAGAAAAATAATGATATCGGTTTGCCACTTTATAGTTCCTGATCTTTTTTTAACATTTGTCATTTCGGATGAAGTAGATGATTTTCGAGCTAATGTACGCAAGGTAATAGGCCCCGCATTAACTGGTACAACATTTTATCTCGGTGATTTTCAACTGAAGCATCAATTCCGGCCTTCAATTCTTCCACACGGTGCCAAGAAACGGGTATCATTATGGTTAACCGCGATGCATTTGGGATTATCACCATTCGGTGCAAAGAGCAAAGCCACCATTATTTTATCGAATATTCAAAGATCAGAGCTCTATGTGTATATACTGATAAAAAATCTGATCTAGCTATATTGGTAACACAAAAACGTTTTACACATGGTATGCAATCAGTAAATTTTCAACCTATTTTACCACCTCTTCGGACAAAAGTTTTTATTTATGGTTTTGGCAGCCTCCATGCAAATAATCTTCCAACACCAGCCATAGCAGAAACAATAATTTCGCGCGAAACATCATGTCCTCCACCCGATCGTATTCGGACAGCACGTATAGCCGAACGTTTTTTTGTTATGCAACGTGCCAGCGATTATGGTTACTCCGGTGGTCCTGTAATTGACTAGCAAGCGCAAGTTCTAGGGATGCTTTCGCAGGAGGATGCATTGAAAGCATGTACTGTACTGTCAAATCCATAGAAAGAAAATACATATCTTTCATGCACAAACTGATTAACGTACTCAGCATATGAACATTAGATGATTAGACACAAAGTTTTTTATTTCGTTTTTTATTAGATAAAATATTTCTTAAATACACGACGAGAGAACTTTAGAATGAACTTATGCAAAGAATATGCATCAACCTCATTAGAAATGAAATAACAGCTATTTGTCTTTTTGCACTTTACGATATAATATATAAGACTTGTATAGAGAAACCGCAGAATGGCGTACGTGACGCTAACACATATTGTTGTTTGTAATTGGTAGAGTTTTCATTAAGAAAAGTATAACTAGAGCAGCGGTTTTAATCATTTTTAATTTCCAACGTTTCGGTTTATTAAAAACATGGTGCCCCGAAAAAACTTTTCATCGAGCTGGGACTTCAATGGATGAATGATGAAAGATCTAATCCCGAGATAGATGATACAGTAAAAATACAAGACTCGATCGGCCCATTAAGAAAGAAAAAGAAAGTAAAAAATAGTAATCCGTACTTAGTTCCACGTCTATCACCTCGATTGCGTGAAAAACAGTTAAAACTGTCACAGATGTCTTGTCACATGGGTGGTACACAATCATTACTGATTAACAATGCAAATACTATAGAGAGTGATGATGGCGTTAAGATAAAATCGTCTTTAGCGAAACATGAGATTGAAACCGGACATAAAAACGAAGAAAGCGAACAATTATCGGCCGCGTGGAATTTTTTCTGTTACACAAACGGTGAGACGCATAGATGTCTTGTTCAGTAACATTAGCTCAAATTTTTTGGGCAAAATTAATAACAATAGCGCTTGTATTTTCATTCTTTTCCTCCTCTTTAATACCATAGATTCTGATAGCACAACGTCTGCCATATTGTTCCAGGTCATTACACTGGTATTGTAAGTCGTCCACGTGTGATTGCATATCTTCAATTGTTGATTGAAGTCTTTTTATACGATTTTCATACACCAACATTTTATCATCAATAATTTTCCCGATGAGCTGTTGAAACGATTGACCTGACCACTACTTCTACAATACTTGATATCAATGTATCATGAGATACCACAGCATTGACAATACCGGATAAAAATTCTTTCGATGTGACAACAGTTTTTAGTTATCAGTTTTAGTATTCTGCTGTTCTTGTATGCTTCTGTTCTAGTGTCGTATTGTTATGGTATTGTTGTGTGGCGTTATGGGCTTAAGATCTTTGAATGCGCGAAGGTAGTACTAATGGATGTGACGCATACTTATTGCATGACTAATGGGTTCGAGTCCAAGATTTTTTCTCACTTAGAATAGTAGAATAGGAGGACAAGCGAAAATTTCTAAGTCTAGTAAGTTTACCCGGCCCTAACTTTTTAAGTTAAGTACAAACAGTTTTTCTGCAAACAAAGATTTCTCCCAAGTCTACGAACGGAACTTCCCCGACTTCTCTAGCTGCTTTCTCTGGGGCGAAATCTTTATAACAGAATCTACCCCTTTCTGGCCTCTGATAACCAATTGATACAATTATCGAACATCTATGCACTACCGATTCGTTTGGTCTAATGCGAGAGCTGGATCTAAATGGCGCCGTAAAGTTGTTCAGTAAAACATAAAATTATGGAAGTAGCTCGATTAGTCAATCCACAGAGTGATATGATTACTATTCTACAGTTGCACTATCCTGTAATTCAAGTGTTCTACTGTTTAGTATTTCTCTATTCTGCTGTTCTTGTATGGTTCTATTCTAGTGTCGGCTTATTGCGGTATTGTTGTATTGCGTTAAGGGCTTAAGATTTATGACTGCACGTAATGTAGAACTAATGGATGTAATGCATAATTAATGCATGATTAATGGCTTAGAGCCAGGATTTTTCTCACTTACAATAGTAGAATAGGAGGACAGGCAATAATTTATAAGTGTAGGAAATTCGCATGGATCGCGGATGGATCTCATTAAGATACATATACAGTAAAGTCCTGTTGCCATGACTCTTTTGTTACCATTTATCATATCACTACCGTCGATGTAAATTCTTTTAACCCATTACCATCGGGTAATAGTAATGGAATTTCCCACATGCATCAGACAGACAGCAAAGAATCTGTATGATCATGCACAAGCCTGAAGGTTACATAATGCTTGACTATATTGTATAAACTAAAGTAAAGTTAAATAGTGTACAATAAAAGCATTTTCTTCGATGTAAATCAAAATTCAATAGAATGTCTGCTTCTGAAACAATAAATATATAGAAAAGTTATACAAACCAGAAATAAAATATTAACTGATGCTAACGATTATATTCTGCTGGGTTTTCTTTCACTTTTACAATAAAGAAAATGTATGATTATGACCTGGAATCTGAAAGGTGTTTGTTGCCATTCTCATGAACTTAAATTTTTGTACCGTTTACAATCTAATACCAGAAATTAAAGTTCGTTATTTACCGTCACCTTTACCATGATAAGGGTTACGGTATAAGGAAATGGTGTTTGTTTGTTGCCGCAGGAGTCAAATTTGTACAGACATCGAAAAGGCATAGGTGCCGGTAGATGGGTAAACGACCTACCCCTAAGATAGATCATTACAGACCAATTGTGTTTGTTCTAATTATTTAGGCTAAAGTGCAGAAGTTATCGAAAAATTGCAAAGTAGTAGTAGTAGAACATCATATGAATGGTCTTGACTAAATATGCATGAAACACTTCGCTAGTTTTTCGATTCAAGATGAGAGACTTATTAACCTTTTTCTGTTCATGTTGAGACTTTTCTTCTTATTTTAGTTTCTAGATATTTTTCCACTTGACATCCAACATTTAGGATAAGAAAGGACTGTTCTATTTTCATGGCTTTTTCATCGCCAACGTGTGTCCAGAATTTTCGTCGATATGTGCGACCAATTGTTGGATAAAATTAGCATACGAGTACATGTATTTTTATTGGACTTCGAAATATAACCGATGGAAACAAGAAGCGTGCTTTATGGGCGACAGCTCGCCAAATGGTGTTTGTGCGTGGAAGTTTAGCTCAAATATGTTTGTAAGCCCTAAATGCTCATTGTCAGCTCAAAGTTGGAGAAATAAGAAGAAATTAATTTAGGGCTTTTCTTGTAACTTCTATAACTTTGTAAAGAAAGGCCTTGTGGAGCTGGGGGACGTCTCATTTTAATCAGAAATGTGCGGGCTACAATCCGATATCATTAAGAAAAGGTTTTAGTTATTTTTTAAAGTTTCTGAAAAACTGGTTTTCCAGAAAACCGGGTGTTCAAGAGCTAAGTGCACGAATCCTTTTAGGCTTTTTACTAGCTCACTATCCTCTATCGATCGACGTACGAACGAATGAAATCGGAGTGTGACTTGGGAATATCCCCTCGTAAGTCTAGGAAATTCGCCCACCCTTAATTTTTACGTTGAGGGTTACTTTCTTTTGCAAAGAAAGATTTCTAGAAAGCCTGTGTTAGGGCTATTAGGCTGAGAGCTAATGCCTAACTACAATTCTTCCTTGATAATTGCACTTGTTTAACTCCAAAGGTTTGATTCTGTTTTTAAACTGTTTTATTCGTGTAAATTAAAGTTATCACAATATGTAAGGTGCAGGCAATTCAAACTTCAAGTAAAAATTTTTTTGCCGTTTTTTTACATCATTTGATAGAGCGAGAGTTGCTGATCACGAAAAACAACTTTTTACCTTACACAAATATCTTTTTCAGGTCGGAAAATACGAAAAAGTTTCCAGAGACCCCTTGAAGACCCTCTAGAGATCTCAAAAGTATACCCATTAGATTCATCAGCAGTTTTTGCCTATGTAAAAAAATTTTCACTTTATTTGAATAAAAAATAAGCATTTTATTGAAAAATGACCTTC